TCTTTATAAAAGTTAAGAGTCAGCCACACCTACCTAAAACGGCTCGTTCTAACACGCCCCCACATGTCTACGTCACGATGTGGGAAGATTTGCATAACGCCGCCCAAATGTTCACGCAAAGAAAGGAGTAACTTTGATTCTCGCTGTAGTATTGTTGCTGCCGCCGCCGCCATGTCGTGGAGACACTGTGTTTCTAGTTGTGAAAGCGAAACTACTTTGTTTGGTCTTCCAAAAGAGGACACAACTAGAAATCGGTGGTTAAGTTGTATTTGCAACACTATTCCAGAACAGTTCAAATCAAATATTCAGATGTGTGCAGCGCATTTTATGGAAGACTATTTTCTGATCCTGGGAGAGTAGACCACAACGCCGGCTGTTCTGACTCAGACCGTAAGTACGTTTTCATATTTAAAGAATTTGCCACTGATGATTCAAACGAGAGTTGAGAAGTGTAGAGTAGCGCTTGTTTGTCATTTTTCCGATCACAAATGCAGACATGGTTTTATGTTTACGCGGTGCGATACGCAACTTATAAAAAGACAGAACAAGTCATTATAATCCGTAATTATGTCCTCACTGGATGCAACAAATGCCTCGTTTGTAATAGGTATTATTGGTTTTGTCTCGTCGCTCCGGGACACAGCATCACAGTATGGTAGGTGCGTAACATTTCTGTCACACGCTTGAGGTATTCGGCCAATCACAACGCACTGGATAGCTGGCCAATCAGAGCACACCTCGCTTTTCAGAACAATGAGCTTTGTAAAAATCGACGCGTTTCAGAAAGGTGGGGCATAAAGGAGAAACAATGTACAGTATGTAGGAAAGAATGCGTTTTCCTTAACATTTGTGTATTTGGTGTAATGAAAAGAAGTCTCTTCTGCTCACCAAGCCTGTGTTTAATTTGATCCAAAGTACAGCAAAAACATTATGAAATATTTTTACTATTCAAAATAACGGTTTTCTATGTAAATTATAAAATATAATTTATTCCTGTGATTTCAAAGCTGAAATTTTAGCATCATTACTCAGTCTTCAGTGTCACATGATCCATCAGAAATCATTCTAATATTCTGATTTTCTGCTCAAAAACATTGTTGAAAACAGCAGAGTAGAACTTTCAGGTTTCTTTGAATAGTACGTTCAGAAGAACAGCATTTATCTGAAATAGAAATCTTTTGTAACATTATAAATGTCTCTCCAGTTTTGATCCATTTAAAGCATCAAGTATTTCTATAATCTCTTAACCCCCCCCCCCAACTAAAATAAAAGTGAGCAAGTTGATAGGACTATCAGGAGCAACTATATTACATTAGCAATCACTAATATTGCCCACGTGATTCTATATCAGAC